AGCAAAATCTTCTTAATATAAGTAGGCAACACTGGTTGCCATTTGGGAACATATTGCAACAGGCTTGTTTTTCTACATAAAGGCATAATAATAAAAATTTATCATTTCATTTTGTTGCGTTTTATATGTACAACACTCGAGAGTGTGTGACAAAGATGCAATTTGACTGATTGTCGTTTATAAGTCGTTAAGTCCAGTTCAAATATGCTCCAGGCTACGAAATGTTGACCAAATCAACCAAATTTACGCATACACACACAATATTAGGAGGCAAGATGAGCTGCTGCAATTACCAGAATGCAAGTGTTTATGTGGCGGACACTTGTGTGGAAAGATGTACATACCTAGAGCATGGAAATATACATATGTATGTGGCATGGTCATAAAACTCGTGCAAACATGAACAAGCTTTGGACCAACAAAAAAAAAATGGAAAGGAAAATACTTTAAAACCATAAGATGCATATCACAATTGTAGGTGAAAAGATGTTTTATTTAACACAACAAAAAATAATCTCATTCATAAAAAAAACAAACACGAATGTTGCATAAAACATTTCATTATTGGCAACATAACCCCCCAAAAAAATAAATAACAGGCCAAGAAAACCAAAATCAGTGATTGTCCATCATCTAGTAGGAATTTTTGGTGGTGTAAAAGACAATCACGATGATGATGATGAAGATTTTTTGCTAAATGTTGTGCAAAACTAATTTTGACAATTTCCAAATCTATAATTTGTTTAATATGATTTTGGGGGCATTTGGTAATTTATTGAGGAGTGTCATTCATTGTCCAACCACCACTACATTAAGGAAGTGGGGTTTCAACAAAACCCCAACCACAATAAAAATATTAAAGATTTTTAAATAATTTAAACAAATTGATGCGAAAAACGTGTTGCGTTTTTTGTTGGCCATGAAAGAAAAATTACACTTTTTGTTTATTTTAAATTAAACATTTTTGTAATTATTACTTTTTTTTCTATTTTTCTTTTGATTTTATGTTTTGTCATAATTGACAACAATAAACACCTTTCTGGAGGTGAAAAAACGTGATAAAATTTATTTGCAAATTTGCCAAAAATGACAAATGCTCAAATTAGTTTGAGAAATTTTTCATGTCCAATTGAAATATTTTGTTTTGTGAAAAATTTGTCATTTATTAAAGTTGAAGTTTATTTTTTATTTCTGCTTAAAGATTTACTAATGAAATTATTAAAATTTTTTTAATGTTAATTTTTTAATTGGTTTCCACACCCCATAGTGTTCATGCCGTGATAAATATGAATGTAAATAAATTATTATTTAATAGCTAATTAATTAGGATGTTAAGAAATACTTTGGTGAATTTAATGTTTCACAATAATTTGCCTGGTTGAGTGTGATTTTTTAAGGAATTTGAATAATATAAGCTGTCTTTAGGAAATCTTTTATTTTGGAAGAAAAACTGATTGTTATAAATTTTGGTAGAGAGATTTACGTCTAAAATAGTTATTTTTGCAGAATATCATCATGATATCAGTGTTTATAAGTGAATTTTAACCATCAAGTCATTTTCTGAGGGGGACTTTGTATAGGGGATAGGGTGAAATGAGGCCCGATCAAAATCAGCAGTTACTTGAAGTGATACAAGAACATTAAACATATTTAGTTCAAAAGACTTATTCGGAGGTACGGTTGTATGGTGGCTATATGAAATAATGGACCGATTTCTTCGTCCTTGGGTCAAAAGAAGAGTATGTGCCATATTTATCAAATTATCTTGAAAATTGCGACCTGTAGAGTGCGCGCAAGGTTTACATGGACGCACAGACGGACAGACAGACAGATGGACGGACGGACACAGTTAAATCGACTCAGAAAGTTATTCTGAGCCGATGGGGTAGGACCAATATTTTTGGTGTTGCAAACATCAGTACAAATACATAATACCCTTCCCAGAAAATGGATCTATATGTTTTCACTCCAAAATTTTTTTCTATGGGAGATAGAAATAATCACAGATTTTATTACTTTTTCCCCTATGTCCTTAGTTCAGTTCGAAAATGGACTTTTCTGTTTCCAAAAATCGATATTTTGTTGGAGATAAAAGTGTTCACAGATCACTTTTTGCTCTAGGGCCAGAAAATGGACTTTTATGTTTTCACTCAAAAATCGATTTGTTGTAGAAGATCTCAGATTTTAACTCTTTTTTTGCCCTAGGACCTCTAGTTTAGCCCGAATATTTACTATTGAGTTTTCTTTAAAAAATTTGAAACCCTAGGGCCTTTATAGCTACTAGTAGAATCTAGAGGATCGAAGTAGTTTATATCCTAAACATTAGATTATCTTAAAAGTACTTTAGAAAGAGTTGATTAAATATTCCAAATTAAGCTTTATATAGCCACTCTAAATTTTCGTAGTAATTTACTTGCAATTTAAACACAAAACAAATAATTGTCTCTTTACTTCACTTAAAGACATAAACTATGTTATTTTGTCAATGCTAAAATTACACAACAATTAGAATTATGTCATACATTAAACAAAACATTAGTTATGAAACCAAGAATACAATTATTCATGAAAATGCTTGAACTCCAATATCTTTGAAAAATACCTAATGATGACGATGATTGTTAGTTTAAAGTTCGAACAAACAATAACAATTATTGATTTACGTAAAGAATATCGGACATTGATTAGCAATTAAAATAACGAATGCAACATGTGGTTTATTATTATGTTTACAAAATGATCTTCAAAATATCAAAAAAAAGACACGATATAAAAAATTTTCAAAAACTAAAAACATAACACAAACAATCACCAGCACAATCTTTACTCGTCTGCCAGCAACCGAAAGATATTACTGCCTTAGCAACCTAAGAGATGGCTAAGAAAGATCACCTTGAATATCATAATGAAGTTTTAAAATATTTATTTAAGTTTATAATTAAGTCACTCTTTTGGTTATACTCACATAAACAAACTTACGAAGTAGTGGTAGAGAGAGAGAGTGAGTCTTGACGTAAAATGTGAAAATGAAAGTGATCGTGTTTCTGACAATACGATCCACAATACTGAAACTTTAATTTTGATTTCATTCAAGCAAGCGTTTTTTTTTTAAGAGTACAATATACGCTTGATGGCTTAGGATGAGTCTTGTTTTGTTTCTGTTGGTTAAGGAAAACTATGTTAAACTTTGCCAGAGTAGTAATGCCAGATGTAATATCAGATTAATTAAAAAAAATCCCTCAAAATCTCTGGTAAATCAATTTCACTAGATTTAAATGAGGAAATTGATTTAGGCATAAAATTAAATTTTGGACTTCTTGTAGAAATAAGGAATCTTTTTCATTTAGATCCAATTAAAAAATCTATATTCGGCTGTTTAAAAAACAGTCCGTATGTTTTTTATTTTTATTTATTTAGAAAACGAAAAAGTACCAGATTTTTATTCAATCAGGACACTGAAAAGATTTAAAAAGTTCCAACTGAAGAACGAGAAAGTCCAAAAAAGTTTATGATTCTAGGTTCAATAATTCAGTAAATAATATATTTATTTATTTATTTCAACATAAACCTAAGAATAAATTCTAAGTCTAAGAAAAATAGCATAGAGCACTAGCATCTGCGGCCATCAGCTCGTCAGTAAATTAAAAAAAGTACCTTTTGAAGAATGTAAAAGTCCCAAAAAGTCTAATGTTACAGGTTCTCATATATTCCGGATTCTCATGCTTAATTTCATATTTCTAGTTTCAATATTGTAGAAGCCTTAAAAAGTACCAATTAAAGAACGAAATAGTACCAAAAAAATGGTCCTTGTTACCAGAGTTACAAATATTATTTAAATTTTTTTCATCACAGAATAATTTTCCGCGCAAAATATGACATCTCTGATTTTTGCATTAAGAAAACAATAACAACACACAGCTTTTATAGGTAACTTGTTGGTAGGGTTCTATAGTTGAAACAAAAAGTCGACTTTTCGAATTTTCGACTTTTTGAATTTTATGAAAAGTCGATTTTTCGACTTTTTTCATTTAATTAAAAGTCGACTTTTAGTATTTTATAAATAGTCGACTTTTCGATTTTTTCCGACTGTTCGATTTTTTGACTTTTTTCGACTTTTTCCGATTTTTTTACTTTTTTCGACTTTCTCCGACTTTTCGACTTTTCTCAAATTTTTGACTTTTTGACTTTTTCCGACTTTTCGATTTTTTTCAACTTTTTGACTATTTTTGACTTCTTTCGATTCTTTCGATTATTTCTTGACTTTTTTTCGACTATTTTAGAGTTTTTGACTTTTTTCCACTTTTTTAAAATTTTCGACTATTTTTGACTTTTTTCTACTATTTTCGAGTTTTTGACTTTTTCTTTGACTTTTCGACTTTCCGACTTTTCGACTTTTATTTACAAAGTCGACTTTTTTCATAGACGATAGTCGAGTTATCGACTTTTTTGGAACAAAATAGTCGACTTCGACTTTTCGACTTTTTTCGACAAAAAGTCGATTATTCGAAAGTCGATTTATAGAACCCTACTTGTTGGTCTTGCAAGTACAAGAACAACATTTCTGTTCATCTGGCATCTCTTTCAAAGAGATCAAATAGAGAAAAAAATCTTCAAAATGAAATCGAAATTAAAGAAGAGCTTAAAACTACCACTCACGCACAATAAACACGATAATGATTTAAAAAAACGAAGAAGTGAAATGAGTGGCGATTCCAAAATTTGTAACGATTATTTTGATAGTGTTTTCGAATCACGTGTAAATGTGTGTGTATTACAGAGTTTACCTTAATTTTTGGCAATTTAAGAGTTCGTGATATTTTAAAGTTTGTTTCTTACTCATCAGCAACACTACTATAACAACAGAACAGCAACAACAACAACAACTCAAACAGCAACAGTAAATACTTGGTAGTAACAGCAGCAACAAACGACAACACAACGACTGACAGCAGCAACAGAATTTAACCATTGTTGGCCATCATCATCATCAATTGCTATAAAAGAAACTGTTGTATTTACAAAAAGACACAGACACCAAACGAGTGTACAACAGTTACAACAAAACTTTATAGTTTAAAACAATAATTTAGTTTTATTTCCTTTATTTGTTTCTATTTTAACTTTTTTCCCCGAGTAGTGGAGAAAAACAGTGTTTTTGTGATAGAAATCCTTTTAACGTAAAAACGTTTTAACAAACAAACATAAATAAAATGAAGCCTTTTTGTGTGGTATGTGAAATTTTTAAAAATATTTAAAATACCTATAAATGAAAAAAAACTGAAATTTTATAAAATTAAAGTGAATTATAAAATATAAAAAATATTGAAAAAAAAAACACGGAACATATCCAATAACCATGAATGAAATAATAAATTTCATAAAATATTAAAGAGTTATTTTGTAATAAATATTACAACAATTTTTTTTGTTTGTAAACAAATAAACAATAACAAGGTGTAAAATTATTATATTACAAAATACATATATATTTTTTTTAATGAACAAATAAGTAAACAACAAATCAATATATTATTTTGTTTTGTTTTTATAAATTTAACCAGTGAAATATGAATAATTAAATAAATTATTTTTTTGCCCAAGTAAAAAATTTTACCCAAAATAAATATCCAAAAAAAATTTCATTTCTCGTGTAGGTTTTAGTGGTTTTGTGCGCTGCTAGCATGGCTTCAGCTCGTCCTGAACCCCCACGTGATAGTTATGCAGCTCCACCATCCAACAGTTACTCAGGCCCACCATCTAGCAGTTATTCAGCACCTTCCAGTAGTTATGCACCCAGTGTGCCCAGTGGTAGTTATGGTGCTCCACAACCCGTCTATGGTCCACCACAACAACCACCAGTGATACATAAGCATGTCTATGTTCATGTACCACCACCAGAGCCCGAGTATCAAGCACCCAGGTGAGTGAGAGTATTGATTAAAACAACAAAAACTATTGTTGTAAATAATTTCCTTTGGTTTTTTTTGCACACAAGGACTTTTATTTATGTATGTGAGCGTGTTTATGTGCGAATTGAAATTGACAGTTTTATTGAAAGGATATTAATTAAGGCAAACGGATATAGTTTATGCAACAGGCGGCATGGGTTAAATGGGGTTTTTATGTAAAATATTTACTTTGAGTCTGTTGTGTATTTTAAAAGTAGGGAAAGTATTTTCAATAATGCCAATTTAAATATGAGTAGTTTAGTTTAGGTAGTTAATGAAAGAAATTTAAGTAAGAAAACTTTTCATAAAAAAATAACTCAAATTTAACATTAGAGAATAGCAGAAATTCTAAGATTTGGATAAATTCGATATTGAAGTCATCTGCTCCGGTAAAACCAACTCTACAGGCCCCAAGATCTCTTTAACATTTAATGATAACTTAGAAAATACAAAATATGTTTGCTGTCTATATAACTCTAATGCAAAAATTTTGCTTTTTCATAGATGATTTTCGGAAGAAATATGAAATATTAAAGATGATATCTCAAGGGATCAGAGATAAATACCATTTTTAAGTTCATATACAGAGGGAAAAATCCGTTTTAAAATTATCCACGCCTGGTACCAATTTGACACCAAAGTGTTTATAATTTTTCCATAATATCCGTTGTCAAAGTATGTATGGATTATTGTCAAACCAACAATAAAAAACGTTTTCAAATCAACAAAAAAATTAATAATGTGTTACCAAAGTGATAACGCTATGTTGTCAAACAGAACGTTGTGTTGTCGAAATGATAACGATTGGTTGTCGAAATCACAACGATTTATTGTCGAAAAAACACAAAGCGTGATCGAAATGACAACAATGCGTTATTGCAATGACAACAATGCGTTGTCAAAATTACAACGGTGGTTCCCAAAATGATTACTGAATGTTATTTAAATTTTATACACATGCGTTGCCTAAATGTTAAAAAACTTGGTAAACTCACTTTTGACAACGAATTGTATCAATTTCGGTACTTTTCTATCAGGTTTTCCCTCTGTGTATATTTTATTAGAAGTAGTGCTTTCAATTTAATATGATGATGACCAAGGGAGGAATATAAGTGAACTTGTTCCACCGTATTTCCCTTAGTATTCTAATTGTCATTTAAAGTTTTATAAACTAATCATATCTTTATAAAGTTAAAAAAGAAATTCCAGAAACTTTTTTTTAATTTAAATATTCAGAAAAAATGCATTTAGAGGCAAATAGTACAAGGACATTAAGTCCACTTAAATTATTTCAGCAATATTTGCCACAATAATAAAAAGTTGCTTAACCATTCAACATAACCTCAATAAAATCCAATAAATAATTTTTAACATCTTAAAAAAAACTACAAAAACTTTATGAATTATTAAAACAAACTAAAATTTCCATTAACATTAAATCAAAACTTTATTATAAATTAATTTCATAAATAACAATGTTATAGTTTGCACACAAAAAAAAAAACTAGCAAAAGAACAGGAAAATTAAATAAAAAATTGACACAAATTACCAGAAAAACATTAAATAATAGGGGAAATACAAAATTTATTTACAACTATTAAAAAATCTAACCCCCCAAGTTTTCTAAAAATTTTTTATTTTAAATTGTCTCAAATTTCCTATAGTAAATGACAAACAAAACCACAACTTGTTAAAAACTGTGTCAACAACTTTAAACACACATTCAACATCGAAAAAAAATAAAATCATTTTTATCATGATTTCTGGTAGCACACAAACATTTTTTGTTAAGCTTAAAAAAATGGCCTAAACTTAAAACAAACAATTCATACTTCAAGAAAATCATGGCAGAAAACCAAAAAAAAAACTCTTAAAAAAGTTGAAAAAAACCAAAACATACAACCATGATTTAAAACCATTACCTTCACATGAATGAAAATTGTAAATGGAAAAAAATTTATAATTTCCGTTTTACGCGAACTTAACTATGCGTGCCAATAACTCCCCTTTTTGCTAAGAGTTAAGCCAACAAAATTCCATTAAGAAAAAATTTTGAAGGAAAATATTGTTTGTGGCGTTAAATTTGTATTGGCACAAGTCTTTAGGAAAAAATACAAATGATCATTTACAATGTTCACTACAAGTTTGTTTTACCAGTAATCGATCCAAGCCGAACGAAATTTACGATCAATAAAACAATGTGAAAATTTTGAACAAAAAATGTTTAAGCAGCCACAAGAAGAAAAAAGAGTTTAAAGTTTTTTACTAGAAATAAAACAAATACATAAAATATAATTAGCAAACAGGCTGTGGTCAATGTAAAGTGATTAAGGAATTTTAAATAATTTTGCAAAACATTTACTTTTATCCACAATTTATACGAACCCAAGAACTTCGACGAAATTAAATCTAGAGTGATGAGCATAAATATCGAAACAATTATGAGAACTACAAGTGAGATCATGTATATTTGCCGATAACTGCTCTGAGCATGACCAAATTGAGTACAAAAGATCAAACACGATACGACTTTCTTACAACAAGCAAGTCTCCGAACTAACCTTAATCAATCTGTTCCGATCATGGATTAGTTCTTTTGATTAAAAAGGGATACATATTCCATATTTTTAATGTTTTTGTTCAAGTCCTCACTAAACTGACCACCACCTTTGTAGCTTCAAAACATTAATGAATTGAAAGTTTCTGCTCAAATGGAAAAAGAAATAAAACATTTTCGTTTTTTCGTTACTGATTTTTTTGTTTTATTGCAAATGTTAGTTGGTGGCCATTATATTCATGTGAACCTAAAACCATTATTTTCTTTAATTTTAAATTACTAAACAAAAATTTTATTTGATTTTTTGTTTTGTTTTTGATCGAAAACAAATTGTTAACAACTAACAAATTCATTTTAAATCGTTTTCTTCACCCAAAATGGTAAAACACCAAAAGTGTTGTTAGATTTATTTTCTTTTTGTTAATTCATTTAATTTGACTTTAGTGTTGAGATGTTAAAATGATAAATCATTTTGTTTGGAATTTCTGTTGAGTTATGAGATTTTAAAGGGTTTTTAAAGTGATGGTGTAAAATTTGAAATATTAAAAAATGAGTTTTCTCTATATTTCTGGAGATAGTTACACAGTGAGAAAACCCCGTTAGAAATGTACCGAAATTGATACAATCAGTTGTAAAAAGTGAGCTTGTTATCATTTAGACAACAGATATGTATGTTTTGACAACGCATCGTTGTCATTGCAACGCAACGTTCTGTTTGACAACATTGAGTTGTCACTTTGGTAACACATTATTATTTTCTTGTTAATTTGAAAACGTCGTGTATTTTTTATATTTTTGTTGTTGCCCTGCAGTTCGATAAAGAGTCAATGCATCCGAAAAAGACAGTGAGTGACCACCCGGTTCGCTCTATTCGTCTTTCGTCACTGATGTACTCTTTGTAAACGAGGGTGAAGATAATCGTCACTTTATTATCCCCTTTGTAAGCGAGAAAGGAGACATTTAAAAAGATACTTAAGCTTTTTGTCTATCTTTTCGTAATCTATGGGGTGAAGATTGACTTCGTCGTAGGAAAAGCACATGTTAAAATAGCTAGCCACCTGTATAGTCGGTGTCTAGGGGTAAGCCTAAGTGGTAGGGTAAATATGTAGTTCGGGACGAACTGCTGGGTGATTTGACAACTATCCGTACATTCTTTGTCAACGGATGTTATTAATATATTATAAACACTTTGGTGTCAAATGGGTACAAGGCGTGTATAATTTTAAAACGTATTTTTTCCCTCTGTGTAGGTAACGAAAATGGGTGACAATTCGTTACTTTCAACAGTTGTAGTTAGTATAAACTTGTGTATGTTTTTAGTGGATAAATATTGTCCTCTCTTTCTCACACTTTATAATTATTACTAGCCTCTTCCACCTGCTCTTAACACAAAAAGACCAAGAAAGTAATTATTAGGACAATAATTTGAAAACTCTTTCCACATACTACTCTTAGCTAAATTTCAGACCAATTTTATCTTTTTAACATAGTAGTGGGATTTAATGAGTGAATTGGCCCTAAGATTGTAGAATTGGGGTTGGTTATATGGCCGTTTGTTGTTGAAGCATTACAATACAATTACAAATGTTATTCTTATTTACCGAGCTCATTGTCATACGCCCGTTGTAATGAAGCAGACCAGAGTCTCAGATGTGAACCGAACTCACAACCCTTTGACTGACAGGCTAGCACTTGCCCCGATAGGTTAGTGCTAGTCAATATTTATGTTTTCGACAATAAACACATCCCTTTGCCAAATCTGTTCAAATATCAATACAATAGCTCTATTTATAATCAATTAACTAAGACCAATTTTTAATTTATTTCCTCCTTTTCCCAATTTTTACACAATAAAACAAAATTTTTAATAGTTTCCTTTAAAAAAGAAACTTTTCAAAAACACCTTTCTCATGTTCCCCTCCACATGTGTGGCATTTTGTCTAAAATCTCATTCAAATACCATGACATTTAAATGTACAAAACAATAGTCCAAAGATTTGCCAATAATTATGTCTATTGTTTGCCATGCTGGGAATAATTTAATAATTTAGTTATTTGTCTATATGACCCAGACCAATTCATTGAACTTTTTCTTCCCCCCTCCCCAATTGCTAGCGTTTTGTTTGGTTGGGTTGATTTTGGCAGCTATTTAACCATTTAATGTTTATTTTTTATGTTTGTCATCTTAGCTTCTACTCTCTCCACTAGCTCCCTATGTCTGTAGTTTATACTTTAGTTAATGGTCTGTCTTGGCCTTTGAGGTATGAAAACTGTTTTGGCAATTGTCTTTAGAAACCCATTATTAAGCGCATCCTCCTGTAAACCTTTAGATAAACTACAAATCATGGTTGGTGTCTTAAACAGACTTGCACTTGGTATTGTGTGCAATTACATCTTCTTAATGTTTTTCTTTTTAGTGTAGTAGTTGTCGTTGTTGTTGTTTGGCTGGCTTTTGTTAAGTTGGCTAATACGACTTTCAATTTCATAATGATTACGAGTCTATTGAGTTATACTTATTTCTTTATTATATATTTTCCTAAAACCCAATGGGAAATTTTGGGGGTAAATAAAACTGTATCAGTGATACTTCAGAAAACAATTTAGTGTTCCCGTGTCCCGTTGGCTATTCAGTGTATTCTAAAACTCGAGACATTTTTCTATTAAAAAAGATGTATCCATTATTTGATATTATAACTTAAACTGATTAAAACAAATATTATTAACTGAGTAAAATAAGATTGAGAACTGCTGACAATCTGTTGAAATGTCATTAACATTGCTTCTATTAAGTACTTTTAAGTGATGACCAGTAACCTGTAAAAGCTTTAGGATTTCTAGAAAAATTTTCCTACATATCTTTATATAATAACATTTATTTCTGGCATCCCACAAAAAACTGTATCTTCGTTATAAAGAAAATGTGCATTTGATGCTCCGCATTGTTTCAAACGGGAAAGTGATGTCTTTGTGGCAGTAACGAAAGAAAAAACAAACATTTCAAACTAAAGGATGTTTCTTTTATTTTGATTTTGGAGAAAGAAAAATTTGTCTTAAACAAACAAATGCAGTATTATAGGTTTTTTTCTACTTTCTTTATATCAAATGACAATTTTTGTATTTTGTTATAAAAAAAATATTTAACTGAAAGTCAAGATTATAACAAGCACTTTAAAGAGTTATAAAAATATTAAATAACTGCATTAATTTCACAAAAAATAGTTGTAATAATATTGCTAGCAAAAAATAAAACTCTAAACAAGTCATTTACCTCTTTTTGGAGTTGTATTAGAGTATTTTTAAGATGATCACGTTTTTAAACTGTCAATATTGAACACCATGTCACATTTGTTTTTTCTACCAAACTGATCTGGTTGTGTCAACTTTTCAAATTTGTAATGTCAACTAAAAATTTTACTTCCTACACAATACGCAGATTGATTGATGGCTTTGAAAATAAATTTCCTTTTGTAAAACTATGTATATGGTCAACTTGAACAGCAATTTTCTATAAAGGGTTTATAGTGTTGTGGAGAAGATCACCCAGCAGTAGCATAAACTAGTTTATTTCGTCCAACATAAGCTTAATGAAGCTATTGGCATATGTAGCTATTAAGGGCTAAATGCCTTCGGATATTTCACCGAATTAAAAACTGTGTTAGCTTGAACTATATCTAAAATTTTAGAAAATATATATGTATATGATCGTTTTTTGTTGATCACTTTTTTTAATGATTGAGCAATCACGTTCTTTTTTGTGAATGCAAATCAATTATATGAAGATAATTTCCGTAATTTTTTGTTAAAAAAAAAACACCTTCACTTTTGCTACTTATAATGATCATACATAATGATCATACGTAATGATCAGTTTCTAAATTATTTCAACAATTTCTCTTTAAGAAATTAGTGTCAAAAACATCTCATTAAATTGACAATGACATACAAAATTATAGTTTTTTTTTTTTTTTTTTTTTAATGATTATGAGAAATTTTATTCACAAACATTATTTTATTGTTTAAAATTATTTGCCAAATAACAGAAAGATTAAAAACAGATTAACAACTTAAAAATCTACCACTTCAAGTACCTTTTATTATTTTGGCACTTTTTTTGGTGTTTTTTTAAGAGGCTTAATTTGAAATTTTGTTAAATTACAAAGTATTTTTAATGAAATGTTGACTTAATACTTTAATGTGTTTGTACCAACAAAATAATAATAATAATAATATAACAAAGTTATAAGGTATTCGTTTGTGTAAATTATTTAATACTTTTACTTTCAAAAATCATGCATAAACATTTTGTAAACAAGAAAAAATTTAAATTTTTATAAAAAGAATGAATTTGCAAAATCTTTACAAACAAATTATGAAGGGTAGTCACAAGCTTTATGTAAGTACATAGTCCTAAATTTCAGAAATATAAATTACAGAGAGCAAAACAGTATATGATTAGATTTCCATACGAACAGAACACAAACTCCTTAAAAAATAAACTTTGAGCTTTTAGAAAGATTTTTTGCATTGTTTCTACATGCTTACTTAAGTGTGAAGCAAGAGAGCTCTTTGCCGATACAGTTTTCTCTCTCTATATTACTTAAAACACAGCTTTTTTCGATGAAGTTTAATTTAAAGCTTTTAATTTTTCTAATAAATTCTTCACTACACAAATCTGTATTAATTTGCTAGCTTAGTTTCAGTTAATATCTCTGGCCTGTGAAAAGCTTAATAGATATAAACAAGGAAGAAGTTATAGTCGGGCGAGGCCGACCATATAATACCCTACACCAGTTATAAAAATAAAATGTGATTTACTGTTCATAATAAAGCGTTTAAGTTGAATTGTACCTTGTTGTCTCAGATATACTTTAGCCATTTTTTGTTGAATAAAATTGGGCTTTGTATAGGGGCTAGAGTCAAATGAGGCCCTATCATTAAAAAATTAATCAGGGTCATGAAGGCTAGTATAGAACTTGGTATTGCAGCTTTTTGTCGAGATACAAGTATATTGAACATAATTATGAACTTAAAAGCCCTATTCGGGGGGTTCTGTTGTATGAGGGCAAGATCAAATATTCGAACGATGTTAACCACTTTCAATAGGTTTCGTCTCCGGTATCATAGAAGATCATGTGCCAAATTTCATTGCATTATCTTCAAAATTGCAACCTGTAGTTTGATTACAAGGTTTAAAAGCCCTATTGAGGGGTTCAGTTGTATGGGGGCTAGGTGAAATAATGGACCGATCTTAACCATTTCCATTCTAGTACAATAGAAGATCATGCGCAAAATTTCATTGAATTATCTTCAAAATTGCGACCTGTGGTTTGATTACAAAGTTTAGATGGGCGGACGGACAGACAGACAGACGGACGGACAATGCTAGATCGACTCAGAAAATGATTTAAAGCCGATTGGTATACTTTAAGGTGGGTATAGGACCAATATAATTGTACGTTACAAACATCAGCACAAACCCAATATACCCTCCCGACTAAAGTGGTGTAGGGTATAAAAAGCTTCAGTTCTTTCCTACTCTCAGATTTAAACTGTTAACTGTGATTAGCCCAAATATTTAACATATTATATTAATGTTATTTTAATTTTATCTACAAACGAAATTGTGAGATAATATAGGTTTTCCTTTAAACACAAACCTCCATATATAACTAAAAAAACATACATACTAGATACTAATACTACACCTTTTAATTTAACTTAAATTGTGCAGTGTTCCGCTTAAGATTTCATTTTCTATTATTAAATGAAAAACACTTTAAATTAAAGTTTTACAATTTTTTCCAAAACCAAACCCCAAACTAAAACATGATACGGCAAATATTTTAGCAAACTATATATCAAGTAAAGAAGGTTATATTTTGTCAAGAGCCTGAAAAAATTTTAAGTGTTTTAGTAAAAGCAAAACTGAAATTTTTACTAGGCAAAACTAACTGGAGCAAATAGGTAACAAAAAACTATATATACATGGTATAATATTAAACAAACTAAAACTTCCTGAATTGCCACACTTTTATGGCTGAAAGATTTTTAGGTTTAATTGCAACCAAAAAAGAAATGAAATTATAAAAATTCCATTAAATCTAACATAATTAATACAATTAATTTACTTTTTCTTCCAGAAAACCCATTGTTGTGCCTCCACCACAAAAACATTACAAAATTGTGTTCATTAAGGCTCCATCACCACCAGCACCCACTGCACCCGTTATACCACAATTGCCCCAAACCGAAGAGAAAACTTTGGTCTATGTGTTGGTCAAGAAACCCGAAGAGCAGCCCGATATTGTTATACCCACACCAGCTCCCACACAGCCCAGCAAACCTGAAGTTTATTTCATTCGCTACAAGACCCAAAAGGAAGAGTCTGGTCCCTATCCCAACAGTATTGCACCAGCTCCTTCTGGCGATTATGGTGCTCCAGCTGCTCCCTCAGCTCCCTCGGCGCCCAGCTCTTCATATGGTGTACCCCATTAGAGCTTTTTTTAAGGAAGAAAAAAAAAAAAACGGGAAGAAATCTTGAATACAAACAAAAACAAATACTCATTTAAAAAGCCTTCTAATGGGCTTTTATTGTGAATTCTTTCACTAGAAAAAAGGGAAAAGTAAACTCTACGCAAGATTCATTAGTTAAAATAAGAAACTCTCTCTCCGATTCTCTCTAGCTAAACTCTAAAACTTTTACTCTTTCTTTGTCTTTCTCTAGAAACTGCTCCTTTAAAGAGCATCTTACTATAAACCCCTCTTTAAACTTTTTTAATTATTAAGATTTTTTTACATATACATTTTTTATAAAAAAGTTGAAAATAAAAAACTTTTTTAACGTGTGACAAATTTATTTATAAGTATTTTTTAGCATTATTTGTTGTTTCTCATAGGAATATTATGCAAAAACCCGAGAATTTAAGTTAAAAGTTAAGAGAACAGTATTTAGTTAAAGGAAACAAGTCGCTCTTAATATCCTCTGACTTGCTGTTCCTCTTAGTTAGACTGTTTGTTTCATTTAAAAAAAAAAACTCATAAATATACATACATATTTTTTTAATTTTATACATACATAACTAGTTTAAACAAATATCTTTTCACTAAATTGTTTGTTAAATCATTAAATTAATTTTGTTTGTTAAATTTTTCATTAAATATTTTGGAATTTGAATTTTTTTATTCAAAGCTCTGTCACTCTATACACCACAAATTTATCTCATCTAACACATTTTGTTGTAAAACACTTTTTTGTTTGTTTAATGAAAATTTTTTTCTAATTTTTTTTATAAAATAAAGTTTTGTAAAAAATACAAATTTTATATTTTGTTTTATTTGTTAGACTATTAAATTTTATTTCTTTACAGATTTTATAGAATATTTTTAGCTAGCGATAAATTTGTCTAGAATAACTTTAGATAGCGATAAATGTTTATAGAAAGTTTTGAGTTAGAAAATTTTGAGCTGACGATACTTATAGAAAAGAAATTTTTATGGAAAATTTTCAGGCATGGGGGTTTTTGAGTAATTCATTCCATAATCGATTACAATTACTTGTAATGTGTAATTGAGCAACAACCAATTACAATTACTTATAATAGTAATTTAAGTTTTTCAATTACAATTACTTGTAATGCGTAATTGACCAATAACCAATTACAATAACTTGAAGTTTTCAATTAAAATTACTTGTAATTGTAATTAAGGTAATATTAATTACAAATTACATGTAATTATAACGAACAAAATTCACAATTACAAGTAATTGTAATTGGAAATTCTTCAATTACAAGTAATTGTAATTGCCAAAACTTCAATTACCATTACAAGTCATTGTATTGTTATTGTCAAAACTTCAATTACAAATAATTGTTATTGGCAAAACTTCAATTACAATTAAAAGTAATATTAATTGTTGAAGCTTCAATTACAATTACTTCAAATGTAATTGTAATTGAAAATTTAGTCATTACCCCCCAAGCCTGAAAATTTTGAGCTGGCAATAAATTTTTATAAAAAATTTTAAGCCGGCGATAGATTTTTATTTTGAGCCGGCGTTAAATTTTTATAGAAAATTTTGGGACGGTGTTAATAGAAAAATTTTTTTTAGAAATTTTCGAACTGACGATAAATATAGAAAATATAGAAAAATTTGAGATGGTGATAAATTCTTATAGAAAATTTTGAGCTACCGAGACCTTTTTATAGAAAATTTTGAGCTGGCGATAAATTCTTTTAGAAAATTTTGCACAGGCGATAAATTTTCATAGAAAATTTTGAGCTAGCGATAAATTTTAATAGAAAAATTTGAGCTGGCGATAAATTTTAATAGAAAAATTTGAGCTGGCGATAAATTTTAATAGAAAAATTTGAACTGGTGATTCATTTTTATAGAAAATTTTGAGCTAGCGATAAATTCTTATAGAAACTTTGAGCTGGCGACAAATTCTATAGAAAATTTTGAATTAGTGATAAATTCTTTTATAAAATTTTAAACTGCCGATAAATTCTTTAAGAAAATTTTTTGCTAGCGATAATTTTTATAAATATTTTAAGCTGGCGATAAGTTCTTATAGAAAATTTTGAGCTGGTGATAAATTCTTTTAGAAAATTTTGAGCTGGCGATAAATTTTTATAGAAAAATTTGAGTTGTCGATAATTCTTTATAGAAAATTTTGAGCTGACGATAAATTTTTATAAAAAATTTTGAGTTGGCCATAAATTCTTTTAGAAAATTTTGAGCTGATGATAAATTCTTATAGAAAATTTAGACCTGACGATAAATTTTAATCGAAATTTCGAATGTCTTATTTTATTATTTGGATTTCAAATTTACACAGAGAAATATAGGATCAGTGCCTGATCTGAACTTAATAGTTATAAAAATCATAATCAAAGAAAAAATTTCAACTTGAAAGTTTTTTTTAACTTATTATAGCTTTTTCTCATTGTAACAATCGGTTTTTGTTTGTTAATGTTTTTCAAGTGCGCTTAACACTCGCAGGAAAAAACTTTTTATTCACACTTTTGCTAATAGTGATGTTTCTGTGTACTTAGGAGAGTAAAGAACTAAAGCCAGAAAAAAAAACATCGACTGTAACGACTATACATATTAGCATAGAAATAGAGTATGTTAACATCAACAACAAATACAAAGGTAACAAACAATAACAAACCAAACAAATAGTAAATAAAAAGACGAATATGTATATGAAATGTCTGATATTAACAGGGATTCCCAAATTTACAAAAACTTTAAATATCTATCTACAAATTAACTGGAAAAAGGAAATGATAACAGAAAATGCATATACATATGAAAGACTACAAATAAATAAGTAAATTTGGTCCTTCGAATGTGTTGAGTACCACTGCCGGCCAACCATTTCATGCTGTTATTATTTTAACACCATTATGAGTGTAAAAACTTAGTTGCAGGTAAGAGCATAAAGTAGTGTAAAGGTATTTTTTTTAATATTAAAGGTTTTTTTGCCTTTAATCAGTTAAAAAGTGTTAGAAAAACAGGTGGCCGGGTTAACGGCAACGTACAACAAGGGGTGTGATAAGTGTAACAGAAGTGTTGGATTTAAAAAAGTATTTGTATTGCGTTTATATTTTTTCACACATGTTTTCATAAGGATTTGTTGTATGACTTTGCTAATGTGCCGGCTCTCGCTGAAAGTCTGGTGGCAAGTTGGCACATTAGTGGAGATCATTTGTTTAGAAATATTGCATGTGCTATAAAAGCATGTTAAATCATTGACACGAAAGTTAACAAGTTTAAAGAAATCTACTTAAAGCTTTGAATTAGTTACAAATTTAAAACATATTTAAAGGGAATATGTGTATTAACAAATGCTTAGAAGTTTTAAAATTATACTTCGTTTTCTTGTGATGTCAACTCTTCATTATAGAGAGTTTTTTATAAAATTCAATTCAAAGATTAGTTTTGAAGTCGCCTACTGCTTAAACTTCTACAAAGTATGTATAATGCAAAAGGGGGTATTTGTGTTTCGTTTCTAATATCTGTTTGTTTATAGTTAAATAAACCCGTATTTTCACACGGAATTGCACACAAATTGTATTCAATATTAAAGCTGAAATAAAGATTTTATTGCTGTATTTTTTTGGTTTTATATGAAAACATGGGTATGATGAAAATAGAAGCAAATTCATTTAAAAAATCACAAATAATATTATTAATTTTTGTAATTGTGAAATATTTGTATAAATAAGCCCGCATTTATGTAAATTCTTTTTATTATAATTTGTAAAAAGAAGGGTTAAAAATTTGACACAAAAATTCTTAGATATAAATTGGATATTTTATATACCCTCCACTATATTCCACCCCACTAGAGTGGGATTTATATTGACCTTTGTCTAACACCCAAAAGTTATGCATTACGTTTTAAATCCATTTAATATGCTATATGTCGAAATATTAAAGAATTGAATTTGAGGAAATATCTGAATATTGGTTGTCGATCCATTTAAAGTAAAATTTTGTTAAGCATCATTTCCCTTTGCTATTTATTTCCACGATTTTGTATTAGATTTATATAAATACTAAATTGTATTATTATTGTGTAGCGATATTAATATAACTATGAGGGTGATGTTCGGAAAATGGCTTGGGTCAATTTCGGACCTCTCTTTACTGAACCTCTTATGTTGTTGATATTTGAATGTTTGTCGAATTTTTATTTTTTTATATCCATCATCAAAAAAGATTGGGGGTATATTGATTTCGTCATTCCATTTGTAACACATCGAAATATTGGTAGTAGACCCACAAAAGTATAAATATATTCTGGTTTCTTATTAAAATCTAACACGATCTAGTCATGTCCGTCTGTTTGTCCGTCCTTCTGTTTGTTGAAAGCACGATAGAGTCCGAACGGAAAGAGCTAAAGAGGTTTGTCTGGTATTGAAAATGGGTAATATCGGTCCACCCTTTCACACATCCACCGAAAAACAGATTTAACATTCATAACAGTTTTAAAAATGCGATTATATCAATGAAATTCGACATAAATAAGTTTCATACGAGCAAAAATCTTTATACCGGATTTTATGAGAATAGGTCCATAATTGACCCTATCCCCCAAGTAAGACCCCTTCCGAAAATTAATTTAACGCACATTACTGGTTTAAAAATGCGAGTAGCTAGTAAGTTGCTTATAAGCCAAAATCTATCTACGAATTGTATGAGTATCGGTCCATAACTGACCCTAACTTCCATATAAGGTCCTCTTTAGAAAATAACTTTAACGTTCATTATTGGCTTAAAAATACGAATATAACGATTAAATTCGATATAAACATTCTTAACTAATGGATCGATAACTCACCCTACCCCATATAAGCCCCTTCAGAAAATTACTTTAACGCTTGACTGAACTAAAAGTACGAGTACAGCGATGAAATTTGAAACAAATAAGTATTATTCGAACCAAAATCTATCTATCAAATTTTACGACAATCGGTCTATAATTGATCCTATCGCCCATATATGTTCATGGTTTAAAAGTTAGACAAAAATATTTGGTTTTTAAAAATTAATACTTTGATAATCCCGGATGTGTCCTTACTTGACTTAAGCGCTATTCCAAATATCAACCTAGTGTTTATAGGGGAGCAATCCATGTACGGCATACGGTTTGATGATGGGTATATTGGATTGGGCATAGACGAATATAACACTCTTACTTGTTTAATTTTTAAACGATTTATTGGAATTTAACTGATTTCCTTTAAAAGGTGTTATAGGGAATAGGGGCTCTTATGAGTCGATCCTCATGAAATTTGCCAGAAGTTTTCGTTTTTTAAACATTTTCTGAAGAAGATTTTTTGATATATATATGAAACTACTACTTATTAGTAACCATTTGAATTATATTCCGGAAGTCTAC